TCAGTTTAACTGGAAAACTATGACTTTAATGCAATAAGTTTGGAAAAGTAAGAATACATTGGCTTACAGTAGGATGACGTTAATGACTTTGGGCTGATTTATACTCCCTCGTTGAGTGAAAAATCTTATGAAAACTGTGATCCTCTAATTAATTTTGTCAGGAATACAACACACCTCTTCGCTGATTTATACGATATTTTTTTTTCGTTTAAGAAACGTCTCTGCTCTTTTTATTAATGTGTGCGTGTGTCATGTATATTTTATGTATATTTACTCAGTTGCTTTGATTCTTGTAGGTGCTATTGTTGTTGTGTTTTTTTTAATTCTCCTCCTTGGGGTGGGATGTGGGTGTAACGTCGGGGAGTGACACAAACAACTGAGGTTGGATCCACATGCAGGTTTATTCAGTGGTAAGGCAAACAATGGTCAACACAGGTGCAAACAGATGTATAAAGGCAAATCCAGAATCGTTGGCAATATAACAATTGAGAGGTCAGAAGGCAGGCGGCAGACTAACACAGGAAAGCTAAGAAGGCTAAGGTCGGTACACATGATAACAAGACTTGGAAACGCATTGTAGTGCTACTTACAGTAAACAAGACTCGGCAAAGTGAATGAGTGAGTGTGTGTGGCTTAAAAAGTGTGTGCAATCAGTCTCTGACAGTCCTCAGGTGGTGTGAGTGTAATCAGTCTAGATGAGGAAGCATGTGTGAGTGTGAGCGGAGTGCATGTATGAACATGTAGTCCAGAAATGGCGGATTTGTAGTCCATGGTTATAGTTAGTTAAATCCAGCAATCTTATGAAAGACGATCACTGGTAATCATGAAAGGGGGACTGATGGTTTTTGAATGTTCCTGTTTACCCTTAGTTACTGTTAAAAAAAAAGTAAATTATTGATATTGTGTTTTTTTTTTTTGTTATAGACTGCACAAAAAAAAAAAAAAAACTTAATGACTTTGATTTTCCAAGAGGAGTGGAACAAAATTCCTCCTGAGATGTGCATTTACCAACTACAAGAAATGCTTGACCTCTTTGTTTGCAAACTAAGGATTTGAAGCTGTGTTTTGTGAAGGGGTCAAATAGTTATAACTTGCATTTTTATGGATTTTTTTTTTTTTGCTGCTATTCTGTCTCTTGCAGTTAAAATAAACCTACATTACAATTCTAGACTGATCATTTCTTTGTCATTGGCAAAACATACAAACTCAGCAGGAGATCAAATACTTTCCCCCACTGTACAATTGACTTTGACAGCTTTGACTTGACATTTAGTTGAACTGACAGATTCCCTTTAAAGACTATAAATGACAAGACAAACAAAAATGATGCTGGTGCATGTACATGTTTTATGGAGCTGTTAATGATTATTAATGAGTTATTCCTTTTGTTTTTTTACTGCGAGGGTACGTTGACATGATAATAATCTACACAGCCCAATCCCAATTGTATTACCCCTACCTATTCCCCATGGCTCTTGAACTAGTGTGTGAAGGGTTAGGGATAAAAACATTCCTCTAAGAAGCAGGTCCCCACTTTTACACCTACATAATTGCAGAAAGCACAGTACTGTTGAAATATTACTCACACATAAAGTTGTTTTGCACAGTATTTGGACTTTAGAAAGTGTTGTTTGTTTTCATCTCAAAAATGAATGAGCCTCTGGGTTTCCCCTGGCATCCCTGTTCTGACTGGTGGAACATGTAGCAAGATGCTAAAACTGTACAGCGTATTTGTACAGTGCTCATATTCAAGGATGTAACCACAAGAAAACAACATTAATGTTTTCCCTGATGTGCTGTAAAAAGCTAATTTCCCACCAGGGTTGCCTATTCTATCAAGTCATTACTGTAGGTATGAGAATTGAAAATAATTTGTGGGACTATTGACTGTTTTAAACATTTATTTGAGGAGCATGACTGTAAATCATTGTTTGTTTTAGAACTATGTTATATTTAATATTATTAATGCCTTTTTTGAGCATCTGTGGGTCTTGAAAAATCTCACATACAACTTTATTTGTAGTGTGGTCTTGAAAAATCTTTGCATGAAGGGCTATCTGGCACGTTCTCAAGCACCTCAAACTTAAAGACAATTAAAACACCCTTACCCATTCTAAAGGCCAAAGGGATAGATAATGGGATTAGGCATGAATATGAAACATTGTTATTTTATTCCTTCATGTCTTTGCCATCAGAATGCAGCATTTTTAAAATCTCCATTAACATGAACAATCAAAACACTAAAGTCTTGTCTTCTATCCCAGTTGTAAGAGCAACAAATAATGACTTGACTTCTAGTTGATCTCTTGGAAAAGTGGCAGAAGGTAGAGTTTTTGATGAATCGTCTGCTGAACTGCATCCTAATCATCACAAATATTATAGAAATACTATAGAAGGTGTATTATTAAGTTTGGTGAAAGAAAAATCATGGTTTGGGGTTACATTCAGTATGGGGGCGTGCGAGACATCTGCAGAGTGAATGGCAACATCAACAGCCTGTGGTATCAAGACATATGCACTCAATTATTCAGCATGATAGCGCTCCTTATGCCTCCATGTTAGAGTTCCTGAAAGCAAAGAATGTCAAGGAGCTCCAGGATTGGCCAGCCCAGTCTCCAGATATGAACATTACTGAGCTGGGGTAAGATGGGAGAGGAGCATACCTGTCAACCCTCCCACTTTTCCTGGGAGTCTCTCGTATTTTACAGTTCTATCCCGCTATCATCCCAAAGGTATTTTCCCGTAATTTCAGTCTTTCTCTGAAGTTCGGCAAATGAACATTAAAGAGCTAATTAGCCTCCCTATACTCAACCCATACCGCCGAACCACCAAGGGCCGCCCCTTGCTCTTAAATGTGAGTGTGTTCTGTGCTTTTGCTTTGTTTAGGCATAAAAACACTTTGAAATAAGTATAAAAACGGCGGGACCCTCTTTTCATTACAGTTGCCGCCTCCCCTTCATATGCAATTCTCAAAACATTTATATAGAGGTACGTGACCTGTGAGCTGACGCGCTCCATAGTGATGAACAGACGCTGTTTCCCAAATGGAATCTGTACATGCGATTTGAAGCAGAGTGAAAGTCTGAACTTTGGGTGCGTGCTTAAACAGACATATAAACATAATTAATAATATTAATATCTAAAGATGTCGATCTTGTTTTATTTTTTTTCAAACACAACTAATTTTGTCCTAAATGAGCATAAAAAGAAAAGCAGACAAATGCTTTTATTATAACGTTAGATGTGTGCATTTTTAAAGTGACACCTGTTATTTAATGTAATCAAACAAAAAAATCTAAATTAATGAGATACATTTGCTGCTCTTTATTCAGAATGTATAAGCTTTACAGTGAAGAAACGACTAATGAGATTTGATAATCAATTTTAATAAGCTGAACTGTTTGCTCATGTATTTGCTGCTAATGTATACTATTTATTTCTTCTTTTGTAAATAATAATAATAAAACACTGGAGATGAATCCAAAGAATGTTGATGAACCCGGACAGTCCTGCAAGAACACTTTCTTTGCCATTCCAGATGACTTTAATAATAAGATAATTGAGTCATTACAGAGATGTATGGATGCAGCCCTTCAATTTTATGAGTCATACACTATATTAATTATTTTCCCACTGCACCATGACTTTAATTTCTAAACTGTACATTATTTCTGTTAAATGACAGGACTTTTGTATAAGCAAAATCAGACCTTACTGCCCAAATCAAATGATTCAAAATGAAGGCATGATCATATATTTATTATTTATTTTGCTAAAATAATAATAATCTAGAGCAGTGGTTCTCAAACCGTGGTACGTCTATCAAGCCTCTTCAGCTGCTCCAGAACGCAGCAGCACGAGTGGTCTTCAATTAACCTAAACGAGCACATGTCACTTCGCTGCTCGTCCGTTTGCACTGGCTGCCAGTTGCTGCTCGCATCAAATTCAAAGCTCTACAAAGTGACTTCTGGCCTTGCTTCTTCTTATCTGCTCTCGCTTCTGCAGATCTATGTGCCCTCCAGAAACTTGCGTTCTGTAAATGAACGTCGCCTCGTGGTTCCATCCCAAAGAGGGAGGAAATCACTTTCGCGAACGCTCACGCTCAATCTGCCCAGTTGGTGGAATGAACTCCCTAACTGCATCAGAACGGCAGAGTCACTCGCTGTCTTCAAGAAACGACTAAAAACTCAACTATTTAGTCTCCACTTCACTTCCTAATCTGCAATTGCCTCTCTGGATATCACACTAACTGTACCCGAAAAAAATAAATAAATAAATACTAATACTTTCCTTCTTAGACTTTACAGACCTGAAACTTGCCTATAGCACTTATTCATTGTTGCTCTCATAGTTGTGTAAGTTGCTTCCTTGTCCTCATTTGTAAGTCGCTTTGGATAAAAGCGTCTGCTAAATGACTAAATGTAACTGTAAATATATATATATATATATATATATATATATATATATGTATATGTGTGTGTGTGAATATTGTCTCCACAATCTAAAGGAAGTTATTATATTAATTTGGATTTCAGTCCTGAAGAGCCTGAATAATATTAAAACACAGTTTACACTATACTGATATAATAAATATGAGATGAGTGTATGCCAGCGTTGAGCTCTGGCAGGTGGCAGCCGCTACTGAAAAATCAAGCTCAATTCACATACCGATGACATCACCGTCTGGGTCACATGTCTATTAATGCTGGAAAAAACATGCTACACACATTTCAAAATTTGCCAAAAATTATGTGTACAATATGCCATATATGACATAAAGCCTATATTTCTGAGGTAATGCCACGTTTTTTAACTGTGCAGAGTTGTAGCTGCTTTACTGGGCCTACTTCGCTTGAGTATTTCAATACTGCTCATTTTTGTGGTACTTGGAGAGATAATTTTTTTCTGAGGTGGTACTTGATTAAAAAAGTTTGAGAACCGCTGATCTCGAGGCTTTTGCCTTTCATATAAGCCACTTCTGATACCAAATGAGCAACTACAAGTCAAGTTATTATTTGTCTTTCCTAAAACTTGGATAGGCGACAAAACCTTTCTGAGGTCGTGTAGCCTAAAACACTGTGCTTGTGTATGCATGCCAGGCCAGTAGTTGGTGGTTCTTTTTTTTATAATGAAACACTGTATGCCATCACACATACAGTCCATCTGTTCAGCATTGTTTTAGTCATCAATGCATGTTTATATATCCATAAATTAATCATAATGGCTACATTTTCAAAAACTTTACTTTGACACCAGATTTGAAGGCATTTTTCTGTGGAAGCCAGTGGCTATGATTCCAGTCTGTTAGTGAAGGGCTTTTCTCTTTCATCCATAAAAATAAACTAATAATGTGTTTGTCTTGATTTTTCTTTCCTCTGCAGCCATAATGCTTGGTTTTTGTTCTTTCCATTCTCCAAAGGGTTGTTTTTTCCAAGCCTTTTGATGAATGGGCATTGGCAAGATTGTTTTTGGTGATTAGATCTACACAGAGATCGTGACTGCAGGGAATGGCGAGCCTCAACCCTTCTATTGCTTCGTTTACAAGCGGTTTCGACTTTGAAGTGAAGTATATGGGACTGAACGTAAGTAACATTCTGAATTTAACAAATAACACTATAATGTGGCTTGATTTGTAACTTGATTTGCAAGGTCTAATCCTGTGTTCACACCAGATGCGGAAGAAGCGTTTAGTCCGAGTGATTTACATGTTAAGTTAATGTAAAGGTGCGAATAGACGTCCTGTGGCATAATATGCGCAAATGACGGGATTTGCGCAAATTAAGCATAGCAAATGGTGTGATATGCGCGAATGGCTCGGCGCAAATTGAGCGTTTTGCGGGAATCGCTCAAGTTGAAATATCTGAACTTCAGTGGACATTTGCGCTGCGTTAACCAATCAGGAGCTTGCTCTTGTGAGATTATGACGTAGCACCTGTTGTTGGTGTCCCGGGGGGAAAATTTTTCAGCCTTCATAAAGCCCATAAACACAGTTATTTTCTCAATAAAATCCACGTTAGCCATTCAGCAACAAAGCTAGAGTCACCGGGCAGACAGAAGCCCTGGCCATCACGCGAATCCGCGTCTGTTCTGAAGTGAATTTGACGCGCGAATGAAGCGGATTTGATGCACAAATGAAGCGAGTAAACTCAACTTATCACGAGTCTGTTTACTATTATGTTCACCTCACAGTAAGAAGGTCGCTGGTTCGAGCCTTAGCTGGGTCAGTTGACGTTTCTTTGTGAAGTTTTTATGTTCTCCCAGTGTTCGCGTGTGTTTACTCCAGGTGCTCTGTTTTCCCCCTCAAGTCCAAAGACATACGGTACAGATAAATTGGGTAAGCTAAACTGTCCCAGTGTATGTGTGTAAATATGCGTGTTTGCATGTTTCCCAGTGATGGGTTGCAGCAGGAAGGGCATCCGCGGCGTAAAACATATGCTGGATAAGTTGGCGATTCATTTTATATATATATATATATATATATATATATATATATATATATATATATATATATACACAACAGTTTTGTATGGTTCTAGAATCTGATTGGCTGATAGCTGTGCAATATTCTGCAATAAGAGTGCCTGTACAGCCTTGTGTATTACTTCGCCCACATGGAGTGACAGCAGATCAATACAGACTCAATACAATTTGACATATATTGCAGCTGTTGGACAACATAGTGTACTATTTAGGCAAGAAAACAACTATGTAGTTTGGATAGTGCCTTTTTTTAAATATTTATAATTACGAAGATTCACCACGTTGCGTATATTTCTCTATTACTTAAGACAAAAAAGTAAATGTTTTTTCCAATAATTAAAATATAAGTTTTTTTTTTGTTTATTTGTTTTCAAACAAGCAAAAAAAAAAAAAACAATTGGTACCTGTAATTTTTATTTGGTTATAGTTAATTTTACATTTTCATCCAAGAGTATATTATATCACAAATGTCTTACTATAACTTAACTTGTGCTGGAACTGGAACTGTTCTTTAACTTCACACTCAATATAACTAAATACTAAAAGATAAATTTAATATTTGACTTTCGAAGTCTTCATACGGCTCAGAGACTTTAACAAGACTTTTACGATTTTAACAAGGAGTCGTGGCACCCAACCCCACCCATAATCCCAACCGCCATTGCGTGATGAGCAAATTGTATAATTAGATCGTGTGAATATCATCCGAATTAGCCACTAAATCAAAAAGTTATGAATTGCCATGAGATTGTGTTGGTATATCAGATAACAGGCCCTTGTGTGGTCAGTTTATGGGATATTTTGCTATCGTCTGCTAAATGGAACACTTTATTGTATCTGATCTACATTAATTTGTTACATGGTTACATTTCAGCTGTTTTTAGCATATTGCTAGCATCATTCTAGCATGTTCCCAACAGAAATTCACATGAGGTACATGTGTAATCGCATGTTAAAATCATTTGTGAAACACATTTAACCTCAGTTGAACACTGACATATGAGATGTCAGTTTCCATGTGTCCATATTTGTTTAAATAAAATCACATGAGTTTTACATGAAAATGTCCCAAATCACACTTTTGATATCAATTTGTTAACATTTTTGGTTAATTATATTTTGCTAGCATGAATTTGTAAATCATGTAGGCAACATGCTTTAGCAAGAATTAACATGCTATTAGCACGTTTAAATCAGTGACGTAGCGGACGGGCCCGCAGGGCACGCACCGCGGGGGGGCCCGCTTGATTAGGGGGCCCCGCGTCGTCGCAATTTTCAATAATTGAAAATCTGGCAACCGCAATAATCAAACTCTAGGGAACAACTGTGATCGGAACCAAAGTTCACAGGTCTGTGTTCTCTGAACACCTCTCAAGCGGTGGACTACTTCATTCTGATTGCTTGCCGCCTATGTTGCCAACTTAGCGATTTTTTCACTAGATTTAGCGACTTTTCAGACACCCCTTGCGACAAATTTAGCGACTTTTTTGTGTGTTATTGGAGATTTTTTTTTTTTAACTGTCATTTGTCCATACTGTACCGTCCCTACTCTTCTCAACGAGCTGCGTGTGATGCCGCCGACCCCTCCCCCGCCTCACAGCACTGACAGGCGGCCCAGTCAGTCCTCTACAGCAGCCTCTCCCACCTGCAGCCCGAGAGCAGATCACCCCTCTGTGTACCGACGACAAATGATTTAGCACAGGCAGTGTGAAGGTATTTCCCTTGTACAGTCTAACCGATCTACTTCTGCTTTATTTTAACAATTTAATTGGACCGTTTATTCTTTTCTTGTTCACAATCACAGATATTAGTGACAGTTTCTGAACTTGTCTGAGTTTATTACATATGAGAGATTACTGCACATTCACTACACATCTATAATGACATACTGTATTCAAACAGCAATAAATTTAGTTAAATAAACATGCATATATAAAGTGTAGTGCAATTATAAATACCCCTTTAGTAACCATAGGCTGTTAAACAAACAGAAACGGTAGAACGTGATGACGTCTGTGATATGCAAATTGACGTATGACCTATCCCCTCCCCACTTCATCAGGGGGCCCCGTCAGCGATCCCTGCAGGGGGGCCTCCGCATTTTGCGATACGCCACTGGTTTAAATGCGCAATAGGTGTCTGTCTTCAGAAACATTTGTGGTGCTGGTTGAAAGTCTCTTAAAATTCTAATAGTTAATCATTAAAGTGATCTAAATTTGTTTATGTCTTTTAATGTTCTGGGTAAGGCACAAGACTATGAATTGTTCGTCCAATCAAAATATTCAGGCCAATCATTACGATAGGCAGCTTAAACTGTCAAATTATGCAGATTTGTATACAGTATCTCCGCACCCTGTTCACAGTTACATCATCACCATGTTCACATGCAGTGTGCCAACCTGCTGCTGACAGCTTCTGGGCTTTGTTAAGAAATGCCAGATCAAAACCACCCTAAAACTATCATTTTTTTTGTGATTGTGATTATACTTAGCATATAATTTATTGTATGCTGCTTCTGGAGACACCTTCTGCTTCACTTAAAATGAGTTATATAAAATCTTTCCGATCTCTGAAAGGATATTACATTCATCTTCAACAGTTTAAGTGTGTGCTAGATATGAGAAGGCTTCCAGCTTTTGCCGCAGATAGACAAATTGACCTCTATTTTCCAGGTGTCAGTCTGTCTTCTAGACTCATTACGCTTCTGCTGACCCCTTCACCTCTGTCTGTCATACTGCCATTCATGATTCGTGAAACTACCACCCACACAACAGTTTCACAACCACAGTCTGTACATTGCACTCTATTAGCAATAGATTTAACTATAACCAAAGTTTACATGAACTGACAATCCAATACTAAAATAAAATTGGGTCTCACTTTATATTAAGTGGCCTTGACTAATATATACTTACATCAAAAAAAAAAAAAAATACAATGTACTTACAGTGTTTATAATGTATTTGAGAACACTTGTGGTGCTTTTGAGTTGGGATAGCGGTTGGGTTATGGACAGGTTTGGTGGTATGGGTAGGTTTAAGGGTGGGTTAAGGTGTAAGGGATGGTCAACAGTGTATTTACAAATGTAATTACAAAAGTTAATTACAAATGTAATGACATATTTGTATTTAATCAAGCATAAGTACATAGTAAATACATGTATTTTACACAATAAGTACATTGTAACAAATTATTAATTACTATGCAAGTACATATTAGTTAAGACCACTTAATATAAAGTGGGACGTAAAATTGTTTATTAATCAGTTTGTTAATTAGCTAACTGGGTTGTTCACCCAAATATGAACACTTACTCGCCCTCAAATGGTTTCAAACCTTTATAAGTCTCTTTCATTGAACACAAAAGAAGATATTTTGACAAAAGCTGAAAACCTATCAATGGCTACAGGTTTTCAGATTTCTATAAAATATCTTATTTTGGCTTCTATTTTAACAATTTAGTCTAAACTTTTAAGTCTAAAGCTCATGGCGCAAAAGCATTAAGGCCATGTTCGAATCCACTTTTGGTATTTTAAGGAAAGTAAAATATGATCTGCAACCTGGCATAAGGTCTAACAGGGTTGTGCTCATTCTCTTAATGAGTTATGGGTGGGTCAACCTTTTTGGTGTTATGCAGAGTTTAGACTGCATGATTTTAGCAATTCTTAGCGTTCTTGACACTGGTGAGTGGGCTTGACAAACCATCTGTAGGTGACACTGTTTTCCTCTCCATATGCATCAGACACTTTCTTATAAGCACACCATACTTTGTGGAAAACATTGTACAATGGGGTATATGCACAGCTAGTGTTTTTCAGAGTGATAATGTCAGAATTCCGAATGATGAAGTCACAATTCCGAGTTATAAAGTCACAATTTCAATAAAATCAGAGTTCCGAGTTTTAAAATCAGAATTCCAAGTTTAAAAAGTCGCAATTCCGAGTGATAAAGTCAGAATTCCAACTTATTACACCACAATTTTGAGTTGTAAAGTCAGAATTCCGAGATATAAAGTCACAATTCCAAATTATAAAGTCACAATTCCAATAAAGTCACAATTCCGAATTTTAAAGTCAGAATTCTAAATTATAAAGTTGCAATT